GAATATGGATAGCATTGTCAAGAGCAGTCATAGTAACAATAAAGGAAATCCTGCATGGTCTATCTTGACATAGAGTGGTTCACTCTTTGACTTTGGGTATCCGCGCCTGTCTCAGGGATTAATTCTTATCAACGTAGCAACATTGATGCCAATTTCGGAATGCGATAAGATCAAGCATTTTTTCCAGCTCCTATCTGTTTGCTCTCTGTCAGGTGTTCGGTACTACTCCAAGATCTCAGCTTTCGATGCAGCTGGCCTACAGTCTGTGTCGGTTGCTTCAGACGGATTTGTGGTGGACACCACTCCCCCTGAGCCACAAGAACACATCCTTCTAGGGGAAAACTTGATCCAGAATCCATCCTTTGAAATGATGGAGGAACCAGATAATGCAGGTGAATTCCACAAATTCTGCCTCTGAGAACCCAGCTATTGATTCAAGCTTGATCTTTTAAAGATGGTTGTATGTCGTGTGAAGGTTCAGTCTAATCCAACATGTGTTTTAATGTCATGATTTGAAGTTCATTGCCCCACAGGTGCCCACATTAAGAAAGTCACAGGGAAAAGTTGATTTTTTGCTGACTTGTCTAAAAGACAAATATGGCTCAGCATGTGGCAAAGGTGTTGCATCAGAGAAACATCAGAGAAAATGTTGAAGGGAGGACTTAGATGCTGCTCCAGCTCTTTTAGGTTTCCGATTTCCCAAAACAAGGACTGAAATTCTTAATCAGATTGAAAAGCATTGTCAAAAACCTGCAGCACAACAGTCTGGATTGACAAGACTTTCCATCTGGACATTTGTGACCAGCTCTAGAAAAAGTAGGTGCTAAGGCACCAGATTCAGGTTATGAGTTTTTGATATGGCTGAATTCTGCCGATCAAAAGCTACAATTTGATATATGAATGACCCCTGTAGTGCACTGCATTCTGGAGATATATAGACATTTGTATATCTACATTTTTGGATTCAATAAAAGAACTTTTCAAGAAAAAGCTCATAAAGTGTAGCACTTGGAAACACAATGTCATGTAGGATTTCTTCCTGAATTATCAATTTTTCATCTTTATTCATTAGTACCCATGTTTGCTCCAAAACACAAGGTATAGCAACAGTGTCTTTAGTCTGGGGAATTTGAATTGTTTTGTTTATGTGAAATAAGATAGCACAGTGTACCAGATTTTGTTCATAGGTTACTCGCAAATGGCTTATTAAACTATGTGTTTTAACAAACAATATTTACAGCAATTTTTTGAATGATGAAAAATTATTATGTCAAGTTAACTTACTTTATATTAAAGTTTGAATGTATACAAGTGCTTGGCCATACTTACTGGTCTAATGAATTTCTTGTAACTTTGTTTCAGATGTGGATTTAAGCTTTACAACAGCAAGTCCAGGAATTTTAACTTTCAGTGAAACCTCAATGGCTACACAAACAACTGAGATTCATTCAAGAAACGAAACATCTACACTGTCATCAACACAGTCACTGTCAACAAATTTCTCCAACATCAACGCCTCTGATAGTTATCCCACTTCTGCCACCAATTTGACAACGGAAGAAACGTTCTCCACTGCTGAAATGGTGACTAGTGGTCCACAAGGTGAACCCTTGGTGCAGTGGGATGTGGGGTCTGACAGTCGGTTTGCTGTGATCACTTCTGAGAAGAAGATTGCCCAGGACGGTCATTCCTTCTTGTCTCTCCACGGCTCGATCTCTCAAACCTTTAACACTATACTGGGCGGTCACTATCAGGTAACAGTCTTTGCAAGCCATGTTGTGCCGTCCCACAATCCCTTGCTGAATCAGGAAGGTCGCATCGAGGCCCCTGGATTGAATCGTGTCTTCAGGTTGTACGACCGGCTTGCCCACAGTCACTCAGACCAGAGTCTAAGGTCCATCCAATGGCATCAGCACAGGGTTTACTTCACAGCCAGTGAGGACATCTCAACATTGAAAATCTCCTCAGTGGGACAATCAAATGGAATTTTGCTAGACAGTGTTCAGGTGAGCAAGCGATTTGGAAATCTCTGCTTCATTGTATATAATTTGAAAGTTGAAATGCACCTTCTTCCCATTTCCATATTCAGTCCAAGATTATGCCAGATAAGTTTTCTGAGCCCTGAAGAGAATCCCATGCAAATTTCAAAGACGTGCAGTCACTGCAGTGAGTTCGATATGAAAGAAGTTGGGGGGGGGACCGTAAGGAAATGTGTGAGTAGGATTGTCAGGAATGTCTGAAGTTTTAACACTGTTACAAATAAATTGCTACAGTGTCTGCCTGCATATTTATGAATAATGAAAATGTTTTATGAATAATGAAAACTTGTCACAGCAGATTTAGGGAATGATCACATTTTCTTCATCAAGGTGAGACTACTTACCTCAGGACCCAGCACAGGGGATGGGTCGGTGGAGGTCCACACCCAGTTCATACATGGCTGGTCATCTCTTCAGGCCAAGTGGCATTTCATTGACGTGGAGAGCCCCATAGTGGACTACCGCTGGGCCATAGGTAGGTTTAGTTTTGTTGAGTTGAGTTTGTGGGTCATCTTCAGCTGAGCCAAGAGTTTATTGTACCATCTCGCATCATGACTTTCATATACAAAGCTGCGTTTGAAACCAATGTATTATGAGAATAAGTCTTGCCTGGTTTGGGCTGCTGGTATATCAAAGTGACCAGTTTGAGACTGTTGGATGCACATGAACTTGTCTGAGGTGAAGTATCATTTTGGGCCAAAATGCAGACTTTTCAAAATTACTGGATACCACTGTCAAAGTTCTTTTCAACTTGAAAGTTGAACTAGACTTATTTTGACCCTTTGTGGTAAGTGTAATTTTGCTATAAGATTTGCACGACATTTCTCACTGCATCATTGCCCGTTTGAAACCCTGAGATCATGTTGCTGAGCAACATTTGCTGCAATGCGCAGCCATGGCCTACAGTCTTATGATGTCTCACACACCCTAGGACCAGTTGGAGCCTGTATGCATGTACAAACTCATTTGGAATCCCTCCAGAATAGGGGCAGGCAAAGACATCATCCAGTACAGCAGGGGTCAGCTCATAAGTCCGACGTCTCATAGGTCTGCAGCCTTGTAAACAGAGCCCAGATTGTGCGGTGTTGTATAACTGTCTTTTGTTCACGAACCTGGCTCAGTGCACTGCTGACCTCTTTTCAATAGGGGCCAGATTAGCGTGCAACGGTGCTGTGTGGCTCATCGCTGCGGTGGTGGAGCACTTTTGACCCCGGTGGTAATCTGCTGGCTCTCAATGCCCCAACCCTGGTATACGGTTTCAAAACAAGGCTGGATTATCATCACTTTTGAGAGTGAAAAATGTCGGTAATGCCCAGCAGCCTGGTCTTTTGTTTGGAGTACAGTCTTTTGTCACAGGGCCCTGTTTCCCTTGTCCGAGTTCGGAGACCCCGGCCACGCATATAAACCCTACGTCTCCGATTCCGGAGTCCCTGGCAGGAAGTGGTTAATTACGGGTACAGGAAATTGCTGGTTGTTCAGATGCCATCCGGTGTGACAGGCTCAAGGGTCTGTGCACAGCAACTAAAGCCCATTGTCTATTCATTTTGATAGGCACTACGAAAGGTGGTACTCAGCTGCAAAGCTTCAGATCAGTGGGTACTCAGACAGATGCTATCAACACTGATCTGAGAATGGCGCACGGCTCCTATGTGTATGTCACCGTGATGGCGAGAAATGCTGCTGAACTCATTGCCATAGCAACTTCAGATCCAGTACTGATTGACCTAACACCGCCCATAATTCACTTTGTCATCGATGGTGATCCAAATGGTATGTGTATACTCTCCACCATTTTGTATCCCTACATCACATATGCAGCCACATCACTGTCACAGAGTAGATATTTGCAAGAATTAACATCTCATTTAGAGTTTATATCCTCTTAACAGATGTTGACTTCAGTGCCAACGATATTTCTCTGACCTTCAGTTGGTCATCATCTGATCCTGAAAGTGGAATTGACTACTGCGAGTGGACAATAGGTAAGCTAACATCTCTTTCTAGAGTTCCCTCAACCTCTTGGTCAACACGTCATACATATTTTGGTCTACAGTCCAGTGCATCAATAATACTTCCAACATGTCTTTGGTCTGCCTCAGCCTGTTCCCAGCCCTAACAGCAGAACGCGCAGTCACTTTGAGATGGACTTTAATTATGATAATGTAAACGGTACTGAAAAAAAACCACCTTTAGCCAAAGAATTTAAAGCAAATGTGAAATCGAAAGGGTGTTTCGAAGCCTCAAATTTTGATATTTCTGTTTGGAAACAGACTTTGGAAACCTAAAATGGCAAAAAATTGCTACAGTTTCTCCCTTTCTTTTTTTTTTGGTCAGGATCAGAGCCTGGATTTGATGACGTCCTGCCGAGAACACAATCTCCTAATGCCACTTCCAGCGTCACGACCGGTCTGTCCCAAGCCATGCTTGAAGGCCAACGCCTGTACGTCACTGTCACATGCTACAATCTCGCCGAAAAGTCGTCATGGAAATCATCTGACGGGGTCACCATAGTAACAGTGCCTCCCAGCTCGTCAGCAGCCGTTGTCAATGTGAATACTGTATCAGAGACTCAGTATGAGACACGAGATGGGTACCAGTCGCAGAGGAACTTCCTCAGAGGATCATGGGATGGATTCAGAGATCCATTTGGAATCCAATCCTATGAGGTTAGTACGCGTAGACAAAGTGGTCAGCTTTTGTGAGGACAGTAGACCTGCAACTGCATGGGGTGTAATCGGTACAATAATGCGGAATGGTACAGCTTTACTAGCTTGATTACTCAGGAATCTTTTTCTCCAATCCAGTGCTATCTTAGTGGACCCAGTGCCTTCTCTTCGTGGAGACCTTGCGGATCCACATCAGAGACCCACTTTGATTGGTCAGGTCTCACACTAGTTGATGATGCCACCTATAGCCTTGCAGTCAGAGCCGTCAGTCATGCGGGCCTTATCAGCCGGGCTGTCACTGGCAACTTCACAGTGGAGTCATCCAAGCCTGCTCAAGGAGGTAGGCACTGATACTGTGGTAGAGTCCACGATAAGCCCTTGCAAGTTCATCACAAGTGATTCATGTGACAAAAGCATAACCTTGTGATTGTTCACCCTATCACTTATGTTGACTGGTTTTGTGAAAGGACTTGTGACGGAACCTACGTTGGACTCAGCACAGCTCTGTTACCCACATTTAGATGGCTTGATTGATCATTTTGCATTTAATTTGTTTTCAAGAGTCACCAGTTGAAACTGGAACTTACAAAATGGGTCGATCTTTCATGTGATTTGTTTTCTCAATGAGCCAGTTCAGTATTTCTGAAAAGAAATGTCATTCCTAAAAAAGCAGGCTCATGAATCTGCTAAGGGTCACACTGATTGGGCAAACCTCACACGTGCATCTGAATGACCTCGGGTGCGACTCATTTTGAGCGCATGCTAGTGGAATACCGAACTGCCTCACTGAGGTTTGTGCCTTACAAGCAACTTGAGACTACTCCAATCTCCAAAAACTTGTAGACAACTGTTTTTCTGCCAAACAGCACCGAGTCTGATCATATCTTCCTGTCTGGGTGATGGAATGGTTGATCTTGCCTGGGATGGCTTGTTCTCCAACCCCTCCTCCTCCTCCTTGGTGTACGAGGTATCTCTTGGTACCATCCCAGGAGGTAGTGATATCATACAGTGGGTGGAGACCATGGAAACAGGTATGCGTGTCTCACCGCTGGCCCCCTACACCGACTACCACTTGACGTTGACAGCCATCAACGCAGCCGGCTTGTCGCAGACGGTAAATAAAATCATAAATAGTGAACAGTAAGTCTTTTAAGTTTTATTCATTGTGTATAGACCTAAACGTTAATGATGTCACGCTTTGTTTACGTGTGGGCTTTCCTGTGGGGACTCCATGGATCGTGTCCCACATCACTGCTGCCTCAGGAAAGCACGCAAGTAAACAAAGTGTGGCCTTCTTGTGTTACAGGTCTGTTTTCTGTTGTTATAGTTGTGGAATGGTTCTTGAAGACTTTCTTCCATACCAAGGTCATAGTGCATCTTGTTGAAGATGAAGTAAACACAGGGTTCCAATCTCATACTGCAGCTTCATAATTAGTGAATAAGTTGTACTTTCTATAGGAGACAGTACCGCCGCTGCTTACAAGTTCTATTTCACATCATGGATGTGTTGACGATTGCATGCGCACGGAAATTTGTGTTAAGTTTTTTATTCTCTCTGGCATTAAGCATGCACTGCTGTGCCAACTGTTTAATAGTCTCTAGGAAATGGATAGAAGCTCTATTAGCCCAAACTCATTGGTTTAGCAGTGCCATTACATCAGGCCAAGATTCATACTGTTTGCAATTAAGCAAATTTGAATGCCAGCCTGCAACGTCACTGCAAGGTTTTGGTGCTGAGAATTCACAACAGGTGGTCTAGCGCGATTCGACGTTTTGGCATTGAATGAATTGTAGCAATATTTGTTACTGGCGACTGTAAGCTTTCTGGAATGTTTTGAAGACTTCTCTCACACTGCTGAAGGTGCCTCAGAGTTATAGTAGAGATATTTAGAAATGTCTTGATGATGGCAGTTTAGAAGTGCTTGGGTAATTAATATATCTATATCCACATGTATATGTACTGTGTTTCTCGTACCAAAAGAATCAAGATCAAGAATCAAGTGAGATCATTATTGCTTTTCAACGATTAGTTTATTTAAAAAATATTGTGCAGCTTTCTCTCTTATATCTGTGCTGATATCAAGGGGTAATTTTTCTGCACTATGATTTATATTCTGAGAATTACAGGATTCTCAATAATCTGCAATTATTTTTTTTTTCCAAATTTTATTTTCGTAAACATAATTAATGCCCAGTCAGTGTGAGAATCTGACTTAGGGAGTAATTCAAAATAATGGTTTCTCGAAGTGAAAAAAAAAATGCAATTTAATTTCCCAAACAATTATATTTTTATCATGTATTACATGCAAAGATAGGCATACTTCAAACTTTACTACAGACTTCAAAGCAGGATGCTTCAAATTTGTATTTGCAACTTTTCATGTATCATTTGAAAGACCTAGATGTCTCAATGGAACATTGAAACACATGAATTATTACACAACGCATCTTGTATTTCAACTTGATTTAATGTTCTGCAAGAAAACATAACCACAGTACAGCATTTGAAATCAATACACCTGGTGATCAGATATAGAAAAATAGTTATTGCCTCAAAAGAGCCAAACAAAAAAATGTACATAAACATTTCTGGACGGAACAAGCATTTTCACTTATTTACATGCATTACAGCAACTATCAACATTTAGAATGATTAACTTCGTGACAAAGATGGCGAGTTTTCAGTTCTGAAACTACACGTATTAAACTGACCATTACAAAAAAACATCTTTGATTAAAATCTGCCAGGAAATTTAATGTGGTTTCCCAATGCCAGTGCCATCACCAGCATTTGTGGATGGGTCTTGGTAACAAACGTTGGACATTTCAAAATCTATGAAAATCTTGACCTTTGTGCTAATGTACTGTTTAAGGAAAAGGTGAACAAAATGATCACTTCTTCACGTGGTAGATGTAGATGGTGGGTAAGCCTCTAGCTCAAGGGGGCTTTTCAGAGCCATTTTTATTGACAAGGCATTTGGAAGAACCTCACCGGTTGGGTTTTGGGGTTGGAAATTGCCAAATACCAGTAGGTTGTGGTGACAGGAACTATGTGTCTGTTCTTGAAGTTAAAAAAAGGTAACGATTTCAATGTGCAATTGGCGTAACTTTAACTAGTGATTTTGTTATTAAACGTAACCTTATCAATAAAGAGACTTGGATATCCAAGATTGCATGACCTTCTATTCTTCGATTGCAGAGGTGCTGCCATGATTTCTGTATTCCTCTCAAATCCCAGCAATCAAAACAAACTCTTTAGCTATCAAACAAAAGAAGCTCTCCGAAATGCGAGACATGCATAACACAACTGGTTCTTTCTATAGAATACGTACAAAAATTGTTTACAATAACGAGAGATGAAAAATACGGCGCAAGTGAAAGACCCACCTACATTGTAGAAAAGTCATCGTGCTTATTTGACTTTATACACAGATGACCATGTACCATTATTTTCAAATCTGAACCCAGGGCCACCCTGTACATTACTGGTCTTCCCATTTCTCACAAAATCCACAATACTTTCCTATTTACATCTACACCTTCCCAAAATTCCCCTGCTAGTGACCCTCCAGATTGAAACTCGGAATGCATAGAAGTGATGAGGCAAATGTTACTATATCTTTTGGTAGTTGGCAGCGTCGATGCTGTCTGTCCGCATGAGTCGGCCTGGATGGTGAATCAGGTCTACGATGTAAGACTTGGGAGGAAACTTGGGCTTGACAGGCTGTGAGGCAAGACGGAGAGTAGGGGAGCATCCAAATCAGTCTTTGAAAGCTCATATTTGGGAAGGATTGGAAAAAAGTTGGATGCCATGATTTCGGTCAAATCACGGCATCAGGGTTGATCATAAACGCGAATGCACACAGAAGCTGCGCCGTGGGAGGCAGAGCCATGTTGCATCCAAATTGAGTACTTCGTGGCTACAGTTTGATTTTTTTTTGCCATGAGCCATGGGGAATAGCCATAGACACAGCCAACAATGCTCCATTGGGATATGGCCATAGTCTTCGGCATACTATAGCATTAGCCAACAAGCCTGCTGGTAGGTGTTTGGGGTAACTGTAGCCAAGGCCTCCAAGTAGCCAAGTAAATGTAAGTATCATATGGTGCAATACAAAGTATGTGTGTGAAGGCTATGCACTGATTATTTTGTATTTCAACTGGGAATGCGAAAAAATGTACACTGTTTTTAAAGAGACTTGGTCAGAGTAATTGCATTGACACTTGAACATTTCATCTGTTTTCCCCAAATAATGTTGAGAATCTCAACTATACTGTCCAAACACTCAAACCACACAATCTGTTTTCCACGCTTATTTGGCGGCATATTCTCTTCATTTCAGCATTAGGTGTGAACTTGGGAAAAGGGCTAAGCTACAGCTTTCATGCACCGTGGACAGACCTGGGCGACATTTGACTTACATTATCGTCCTCGTCTATCAGCAGGACCTCATTCCAGGCCCTGTTGTAATCCCCTCGAACCAGAGAGCAGGCTACGCCGATGCGATCACACAGGGTCTGAAGAGGAAAAAAACAACCCAAAAACTATCAACTGGGTCACAGAAAACAGGTTGACGCTTGAACTGGTACTGGCAAATGTGACCCTACAGAAGACACATTCCTGATCGATCCAAACTCGATCAGCAGCTCTGCGTTGAATTGTGCAGGAGGCCGCACCAAGTCCACTTCAAAAGCTGATGTAAATGTGATACCTCTTGAAAAGTGACTGAATGAGATATAACACATGAAACTTGTCTGAATGATGATACAATTTTTGGCTTTTCAAATACTAAGTAGCAACAAACCTGTCATTGAAACTCACTCAATCAGATTGTCACATTTGTGGAAAAGGCTGACAAAAAAAGAGCAACAAACTACACCGTGGTTGAATTGCACCAAACTCCACAACCCAGAATGTACCGACACTTTACCTCACAAAACCTCAAGTCATATTCCGCCTTTCCTTACATCCTATGCCAAAAGCCAACTCACCTTGAACAGCAGGGCTCTGTGGTAGTGGATACCCTTCTCGATCCGGCCGATGGGCAACACGTTGCTCTTCAGCTCGTATTTGAGCTGGCTGAGCGACAGCTCATAGCTGAAGCTGGAGAGCTGACCTCGCTCGATGGGACCACCCATCTTGTCGCTCACAAATCTGTTGACAACAAATTTGTTATGTCCTAATAATTACTGAGCTACCATTTATTTAAACCCATTTACTTTTTAGTGGGGGATATAAACCTTAGAACCTGTTTGCTTTGATATTTATGGTCAACATCTCTCAAATATTCTGCAGTTAGAGCACTAAAAGTACTGTGATATATAATATGTGATAATCATAGTACTTGAGACATTTAAAGTACTATGACAATACTAATTTTATTCACTTGTGCACTTCACAAATACATGTCCATTTGACAGTTTTGGAAATTTAGTTTACCAAAGAGTTAAAAGGGAAGAGTTCAACAGGAAAAGTGCTTTGGTGACACTCGCTTGTGGTAGAATTACTTCGAAAGGGACCTTACCTTGCCACCACATCCAGCTGTTCCCTGGTGGTTGGCAGGCCCGCTGCATTCACCAGCATCTCGGTGATATACTCCTCCAGCTTGGGGTCGGCTGGGGGTTCGAAGTTGGGAGGTTGCTGGGCCAGGATGGCCTCTTGCTCGGCCAGACGCTCAGCTTCCAGGCGTTCCCTCAACTCTCGCTCCTCTTTCTCCTTTTTGGTTTCCCGTTTGCCCCTTGGAAGACGAAGAGAAATCAAAATTAATATGATATTGAATGATTACAGGTCGTAGCACTGTGACTCCATTTGCATGACAAAATTTCACCAGTTTGGAAAACACATTGAACAAGATGCCTAGATGAAAGCCCAGCTTTTGTTTTAAGAATCTCGGAGCATAATGACCTATAGGTGGACATGGTTGAGTCTCTACCAACTCTATTCTAAGAAACACATGGTGTTCCAAAATCTCTCTGAAATTTTTATTCCACACTATGCAAATCTCCACATGTCACCACTGCCCTACCAGTAACGTATCTATTTTCTCTATCGGCCGTTAAGAGAAGGCACACACTTAGGCCTCTGTCAGTAACAGAATTCTCCACTCGGAATTCAAGAAATTATAAGGCCAGGCCATGTAAGATGCCACTCTCACAATGTGTGGGGAAGACAGCAAGGATGACGCTAGGGTCAAATTCTCTGGGCGGGGCTTACCCTCTAATTGCTGACTTGGATGACTTGCTGCCAATGTTTGTTCTGGACGTGTCCGTCTTCACGTCGAGTTCTGAGGAGTTTGTAGCTGGTGCTGGGGACCTTGGGGGGCTGCAAGGAAAAAAACGTACAGGAAATGATGAAAACAAGTAACCCCAACATGAATGAAATCCAAGACTGAGTACATTCAATTCAATTGTACAAAAACTTCAATACCATGCCTGACCTATTCTCCATCTTTTTTTTAAGTACTTAGGTCAGATCATAGTCCACACTGAAGTGTCCGCTCCAAGCAGAACAAAAGAGGGCGTTTTTTCGGTACTCACCACATAGGCACGCCATGAGACACGCAAGTATATGCGCGTTTGACACGGAGCACCCTGAGTGCGCGTTACTAATTTATTCTGGCAATGTATGGTCTTTGCGTACACGCAGAATGCGTGCAAGAACCCGCTTGGAATCACCTGTCTTTCTTTTGCTGACCTAGGGTGCACTTCTGCTCGGGGCGGATAATTTGAGGGGGCAAAAGATGACCTCACTGCCATCATAGCGACTAATCAAATCAACAGAAATCACAAACCTGGCTTCAGCCAACTCGCTATTTAATGGGAGTTATCTGACTTGTACAGATCCCTCAGTAATGAAAACGACATCAGTCAATCACACAGCCAACATAAGTGAAAATGAACTGAGGCCAAGATGCACTAGCAGATAACAGCAGGAATTTCCCTGGAGTCAAGTGAAGAACAAAGGCTCAAGAATGGCCCTCCTAACCTCGCATTAGTTGATCCACAGTTAATGAGAAGGACGGGCCGTTTCTGATCCACCTCCTGCTTGCTCAACTCTTCCAGAGTGAGGAACTTGCCGTCAGGACGCACCTGTGAACCAACAGATCATTAGCCATAATAACCAAGTTGTCAAGAGAGCTTGCCAAACCCTGTGTCTCAGAGGAAGTCGCTTGATCTTTAAGCCTTATTCCCCAAGACCAAAGGCAGATGTTCTTTCAAGTCCTTCTTGATAAATTTCTTTTTCATTCTTGCATTTTGCAAAGCAGAGCTCTGTACTAGCACCACTCTCCTTTTAAACCGTCACTGTAAGGGCTTTCACACTAGACAAATTTCCCAGGAAATTGCCAGGGATTTTCGGTCGGTCTGTTCACACTACCAAAGAAATTCCTGGGAAAAAGCTTTTCCCCAGGAAATATGTACCCCTGCTCAGGAGTGGGGTTAAAGGAGAAAAACCTGGGATTTAATTTTTTTTCCCCAGGGAAAAGCAACTAGTGTGAATGTCGGCTGGTTCGACCTTACCCTACATTTTTGCGTTCATGGCTAGTGTATCAAACCGTAATCTCGAAAGGTCACAGGGTCACAAATAGCGTGCTAAATAATTCCCGCGGTAACTTAGTGTTGCAATAAAGTACCTTTCAAACTTGCGAAGTCAACTTGGCATTGCGCGACATAAACAGTAGCAGCTTGTGCATGCGCGCGTGTGGCATTGGACTTCCGCCCACTATTCATTTTGGAACTTCCAGATGGGCGCCCTTCATTTACACATTTCCCGGGGTTTGATTGCCAGTGTGAAACAACCGTGCCTATTTCCGGGAAATAGTGTCCCTGGGAGTTTAAATGGGTCTAGTGTTAACGGTTGCTTGGGCTTTGGTGGGGTACAAAATCCCTGGGATTTTCCTGGGGATTTAGTTCCTGGGAATTGGCTCTGCAGTGTGAAAAGGCCTTGTATTTGGTGTGAATATCATTTTATCAGTGGTATAATGCTACCCACTCTGCACTACAAAATCCATGGCATGACTGCACTGCAGTAGAGAAGTGTGATCTGCTCGCACAAAATGGGGATAGTGTCAAAACAAGTTGTATTCCTAATTACCCGGCCTGCGTCATAGAAGCCATCCTGGATGATGTCATTGGGCCCCAGTACACCCATGAGGGCGTACTTGGCAGGCAAGGTGCTGTCCAGCAGTTTCTCCAGGGCGGCATCGCTGAAACTGTTCTGCCTGGTGCTGGACAACTGGATCTCCTTAAGGATGTCAAGCCCGCTAAAGGGGGGAAAACAAGGTTACCAGAACAGAGATACATTACTGCAGGACATCAGCAAGACAGACAGTTGTCCGAAAAATGAGTGTTTGAATTTAAGTTGGAGTGTTTGAATTTCTGTTTGCACTGGTGGAAGGCAAAACTCAGTGTCAACATTTCTAAAGAAACACTAAGCATATTTTTTTGGAACCCGGTTCTGCTAATTGAGTACTAAAGGAGTACAGTTTATGCAAGACGAGACTGCAGATACTAAATGAGTATAAATCATTTTGAGATTTGCCAGGAAGTGTTGCTCAAAATGTTGGCTTTCAAAGACAACTGTGTTTTCCATTTCTTCTACCAGAGTTTGCCCTTCAAGAGCGAATGTTTCACCGCCCAGAATTCTTTTTTACAGGTTCAGTTGCCATGATCATGATAATGGTTGGTTTTGTTACATTTCTTTGAACCAATTAAAATGATTTTTTAACTAGTCGATATTAATCTTCTTGTGTAGGCACAATGAATAATTTCCACACAAGAGGTTTCTTCAAGAATAAATACATCTGTACTAGTTGCCAGAAAGAGAAATAAAGACATTATGAGATCTGGCTGGCAGACAGCACAAACAAAACAAGAAGGAGCTGTCTGGCAGATCAAAACGGTCACTGAAGATGGAATAGTTGTTTGAATACAATCAGTTATACACCTGTCAGCCCATCACTCACCCCAGTTTGCAAAGCTCTGTTGCAATGAGTGGATCGGTGGCACACACCACAATGGCCCACGATGCACTGCGGCGGACGTCGTCATTGCCCGACTGCAGGAGCTTCAGTAGAGGAGACAAGCCACCCAGGCCGCGTAGCTACCAAAATGAAGGAGAACAAAGCAATGGAGGAATGATTAACAAACAAACAAAGAGGTAGATGAAGGCAACTGTTGGCTATTAAAGGTCTGTACACATGCTTTTGGGTAATTCCCAGCAAAACTTGCTAGCAATATTTGGAAATTTGGTCATGCTATTACCAATCACGTTAACGCTGCTTCGTGCTTGACCCGAAATCGAACACAAATGCGAATTTGTGACCTCAGATCAAATATTCACATTGGGAATTTGCAAAAGTTGAACACATTTAGGCTTAAGTGAAATTTTGCTGAAAATTTTTTGTAACATCAACTTCACTCCACTTTCACATTCACCTGTAGTATGAACCGGCCTTTACTGATTAGAATTTATAAACAAAAAGAAGTTTTTTAAAACTGTGAAATGGAATTAATGGAATGGTGCTACTTGTAATTTCCACTGTCCAAATATTTCAAAAACTTCTTTTGGCTGGAAAGTCGTCAATGAGGTCAGTATTAAGTGTGATATGATCTAGTCCACTTTCACATGGAATTGCTCTTGGGCAATTTAAACAGATCCTAAGTTATGCAGAAAGCTGAAGCAGTTACAGAGTTCAACCGGTGGAATTTGGACTGCTCGGAGCACGTTTAAGCACAAAGTATGGTTCACCATGTTTCAACTAACTTGAATCTAATGCAGGACTACTCCAGACAACTATTTGGAACTGGACTTTGGGCATGGACACATCACCATTTCTCATTAGCCTTGTTTCACAATGAGTCATTAAAACACATTTCACTGACAAGAAAATAACTGTACAAATGGCAGTGAGTAGCAAGCAATTAGATTTCCCAACCGACAGATCCAGTAAGCCTCATCCTATGATCTTTCGGCCAATCGCAGCTGACATCTAGGCCCAACACATGTGCACAAATGTCTGACGTGGGCGTGAGCATAATGATGCATGCAGCCGGAACAGTGTGACTCTGAGTGCGGCACGTGTTCAGGCTCAGTGGAAGACAAAAACTGGATCAGTCTACTGACATCAGCCAAGTGGGTCACAGCTATTCAAAGTTCAGCACACACCTGATCATGGTAACAATCCAAAGCAAATGGCTGAAAACTGAAAGGAGACAGCCAGACAAGTGGTACAAAAGATTACTGTATGCTGACCTGATTTCTGGAATCGGCATCACAAACAAATGCTGCCAGAGCCAATGCCGCTTTGCTTTGAACTGTTGTGTTGCTGCACAGATGAATGGGAAAAACAGAATGATCCAAAGATGATACAGTCGTTAAGAACAATTCAGTCTCGTACTCTTCAGACATATTTTCAAATCATTCCACAATTTCAATCAACACACACCCCTATGCACTTTGAAATGATTGCAGCTGCATTTCAGTCTTAAGAGAAGCTTGCCACTAATAGCAGAACATGCTTAACCGACTGTTTCAGAAATGCTTTTTTAATATAATCTTTTTTGAATCAGTGTTTGGTCAGTAGCATTGTCTGGTTTGGTCAGAGTGTTATGGCTGGTCAGTAGCATTGTCTGGTTTGGTCTGAGCATTATGGCTGGTCAGTAGCATTGTCTGGTTTGGTCTGAGTATTATGGCTGGTCAGTAGCATTGTCTGGTTTGGTCAGAGTATTATGGCTGGTCAGTAGCATTGTCTGGTTTGGTCAGAGTATTATGGCTGGTCAGTAGCATTGTCTGATTTGGTCAGAGCATTTCAATTAAATCTGAACCTAAAAATGACTCTAGATCCCATCACAGCCACGTTACTGAGCAAGTTTCCTCTTTGGTCAAATTTCCTTCATCTGAGTTTAAACAATACCCTGCTCATTGTTTTGATGAGGCAGTTTGGAAGAAAACAGTGTAGAATTAGTTGAACCATGCTTCATCCAACTCTGAAGCAGGAAAGCAAGCATGGATTAGCAGACTAATCAAACCTTTAAATTGATTTGCTTAAAGACCATATTACTGCTATATTGAAGGAGAATGGCGATAGTCCCAACTTACGTTGACAAAAGGGGTGGGACAAGAGCTCCGACCACACCCCTCCTCTGGATGTCCTCCCGCAGGATCTCGTCCGTGGCCATGTTGGTCAGCACCATGGCCGCATTAGCCTGGGCACCCTCGCGTGAGCTGCTACCCAGCAGGCCGATCAGTGGCTCCACGCCGTTGTGGTCGGCCACCTCCACGCAGTTGGCCATCTGGGCCACAGTCAGGTTGGCCAGGGCCAGGCTGGCGCTCTCCACCGCCTCGCCGTTGTGGTTGTTCAGGAGCTTGATGAGGGGCGCGATGCCATCTGCAAACAGGTGAAAGGTTAAACAAACCTTGCCTGATGAGCCCACTCCATAAAGCAAAAAAAAATAAAACAGGCCCACTCACTGTGTAATGATAGGCACCTGTGCCCTAATAGATTAAAACCAGCTGTGTGTTGACATGAATTATTTGCTAAAATCTCCACTACAAACCATAGACTGAGATTCCACAGCAGGTAGTCCTAAACAATTGTAGGTCAACTCACCCTCTGGCCAACTCGCCCCTTACCGACTCGCCCCTTGCTAACTCGCTCCCTGACCGACTCACCCCTGACCATTCTGCCCCCCAAAGCCCATTTGCCCCCTGGCCAAGTCACCCCCAAGCTGACTCGTCCCCGTGCTAACTCACCCCCCCAGCAAACTCGCCTTCTGAACAAGTCATCCCCTCAGAGGAGAGTATGCTGGTTTGGACTATTAACTACATTTCCAAAGTGATAATAGGCCTATATAACGTGTCCTGGCAGAGGGCGGGACATTGAAGCATTCACCTTAAAGGGATTATTGAGAATTATTCAATGAACTTGCGTTTCGTTGATTGTAAAGCACAATAAACTTATCAGAACTCATTGTCTGCCACGCATCATTACCTCAACCTACAGGTATTTAAATTGTTCTGTGCAAGTGATTTTGTGTAAATCTCACTTTAAATATAAATCAAATAAAATGTTCTTTGCTATCAACTTCAAGCTGTGTTCGACTTGTTTTTATAAAGACCATAATAATTATTATGATTTTTCTGAGAATTTTAAAAATTCTCTGTGCTGATATCATGGCAACGTACACCGGTAACAAAGCCATAAAACAATGACAGCACGAATTTGAGAAGGTAAATCCTTCTGCAAGGACACTTAGAAATTTAGTTAATGGTATTCCAAACCAGCAGATTCTCCTCTGAGGGGGCAACTTGGTCATCAGGCGAGTTTGCCAGGGGGCGAGTTGGCAAGGGGGCGACACTACTGGGGGGCGACTCGTCACGGGGATGAGTTGATAAAGGGGCAAGATGGTAAGGGGGCGAGTTGGCAAAGGGACATGTCAGTAAGGGGCAAGTTGGCAAGGGGGCGACACGGCTGGGGGCGACTCGTCAGGGGGACGAGTTGACAAAGGGGCAAGATGGTAAGGGGGCGAGTTGGCAAAGGGACATGTCAGTAAGGGCCAAGTTGGCCAGGGGGTGAGTTGACCTGATTCCATCCTCAACACTAGGTTACCTTCACTCTAAACTGGTCTTTTTACTATGTACAAAACTGCAGTAGCTTCCGGTCTCTTGCTCTGAGGCTTTTTGAGATGGTTGTTGGGGGGCATTCAGATAGGGGGCAGACATACGCTAACGTTGCAATTTAGTAAATCACATGACAGCGACAAGTCAAGCCACAATTTAGATTAATGTGGTGAGTATTGAATTAATAAAGGATGAACGTCGACAAAGGAGGGTCATCGTTCATTTTGAGCAACATGTGGCGTGACACGAGATGGAGTGTAAACAAAGACAATTGCCAAGGGGTGAGCATGCTGATATTTTATGTATTGGGTTTTATATTATGGGTTCATGATGTGCAGCTTGGGAACAGTTAGTTTTTCAAAATCTCCATTTCTGTCGCAGTTTTGTCCTTTTATGTCTTACTACAAATTGATCAAAACCACCTAAAACTACTTCCGTCTCTGGGCCATTGGGAAAACGTGACACTTATATACAGAGTTAAATTGTTTAAAACTCCCAAGTCAGGAAGTTAAAAATCAGGCCAAGTCCGAGATGGAATATAAGCTTCTAAGTGGAAAATCCCCAGTCAGCATAGTATGAACACTCACCATACTCGGCGATGGTGACACGGCAGATGGGGCTCTGTGCCATGATGCCCAGCGCCTGGGCTGCTGCCCCCATGACCTGGGAGTTGTCCGACGTCTCCAGCAAGGAGATCAAGGTCTTCTCCGCTTCTTGCTCATGGAAGATCTTGCAGTTTTCACCTGAATGCACACAACAGGGTCAGGGTATACAAATGGATTTGACTCCTAAGCAAGTTGCAACATTCTCAAACGTGCATGCATGTGCTTGTAGCAAAGCTGTCAGGATCACATCCCAATTAGCCCCCCCAAAAAAAGAAAAAAATCTACAGAAATCGGAAGCTGCCAGTAATTTACTAACAACGGAAATATTGCTGTCCCTGGTAAGACATAGTTACATGTTTCACATGAATAGTTGTCATATTGCTCTCAGATGAGTTTCAATCGGTCTGCACAAAAACAATCTAAGCTTCCTAAACAGTAACGACGGAATGAAGCACAAAGTTTTATCAAAAATGAGGTATGGCATGCTTCTAACGATTAATACCAAATATCTGTGAAGAAACTTTTGCAAAAAGGTAAACATTTATGACGTTCATTTTTCCATGACCTTGCACTTTACTAGGGTCTATGACACACCCAATGCTCTTTGCAATCAAACGATAAACTCAGAAGTCAGTTTTGCAACAACACACGAATTCACACGGCTTCAAACTCCAAACAATTAACAATCAAAGGGCATGGGGACTTGAGACAAACATTATGGCAGCATGAGACACAACACATGACACGGATGGGTTTGATCAGCAACCGTCAGTCAGCCACTAGCCACTTTAGCTCACATATGCACATTCTGCATACGTCAATTACTATTCAACTTGACCAGTGGTTCAAAAATGGAAGCTGACCAATCTTGGCTAGTTTGGGCCAGCACTGACCATTTCTGGCAGCCCTGGCGATGGCCTTGGCAGCGTGCATCTGGACATCAGGCGTCGGGGACTCGGTGGTGAACGCTAGGAGTTTCTGCAGGCCGCCCGTGTTCTGTATGAGTTCCATGGTCTCCAGGTCTTCCAAGCAGTTGGAGAGAACCAGGAGGGCGTGGACATGGAGATCTTCCCACTCCTGAAGTTAAAAAAAACTATTATTTTAACTGTCCCATTGGGGTGACACCACAGATGTAAGTAAACGCATAAACCACCATGTTGTTCTAAAAACTATATGTGCAATGTGTGATCTGTGCTACGCCCGACTAACACAAGAAATCATGGGCACATCCACCTCTTGGAATTTATACACACAGTTGATTTTCTCCAAACCATTTTACAAGCAACAGGGTGGACATTGACAGTGGAAAGCTTCTGTTGCTGTTCATCTGAACAACTTTTGACTTGAATTCAGACTGCATGGACATCTTGTGTTGGTCTTCTGATCGCTTTCTGATGGGGTCTTTTGATGACCTTAATTCTTGAAGAGCTGGGTGGTTTCCAACTGTCTCACAGCTGACGAGGGGAGTCAATCCCCAAGAACTTGGCTGTCCCATGCCCAATCTTTGGCATGCATGTAAACACACTCATTATCAGCACTCAATCCAATGTACCGTTTCGCTGTTGTGGCCTTTGGTGTTGAAGGCCATACGTGTATCAGCTGAGTGCAGTGGAAAAAGTAAACACTTTTGGTAGAACCTGTCTCAGAAAAGTGGGCATTTCGTGAGAACAGTATGTCCAATTTGGAGTCAAAATGACATCACTGCACTAGCTGCAACAATATCAGAAAAAAAATGACACAAGGGGCCGATTCTACCTTCCCCGCTCAGCCCTTTTGGAATCAAGATATCTCGACCACAACACTGGAGGTGATCCCAAGTTCCGGCGGTGTGCGAGTGACCAACCTTGGTGCTGACAAACTCCACCAGTCTCTCCAGCCCCTCCACCTCCCTCAAGGCTTCCCTGTTCTCCACGTCCAGGGTGCAGAGTGCAAGGCAGCGCAGGGCCATCTCCTGGATGGAGGGGTACTCTGACTTGAGCAGCTCCAGCAGGGATTCCAGGCCATGCAGCTCCCTGAAGGACAACACAGCCAAACAAATTGGTCACACTGTAGCCCAGCACCGAGATGGGAATTTGCTATTTGTTTCCCCCACCCCAGAGGGGACAATAATAATTGCTCCACGGTTGGAAGGTACATGATCCAAGGTTGCATTACTCTTATATTTCAATCAAGTTGCCTAGCTAGTCCTGCTTGAGTGCTTGGCATAAAATCACACATTACATTTTAGAGAATTCAACCAAATCAATCCAACATTAAAACAAACCCCAGTTGTATATCTCCAGGCAGTAAGACGCTAATCATGGGTGAAATGCTACACAAAATCTCGTGCTAGGTCCTAAGCTGCTAACGAAATGGTCACCTTCGTCTGAAATTTTCAGTGGCCTGTAGTTGCATTAACACTGGATGACTGGTGCTTGCTTTCCAAAGGGTTTGGAATGGACTTATGATTGACTTGTGGCTAGCTTGTGATTGGTTTGTGGGTAGCTTGTGATCGGCTGGTGGCTAGCTTGTGATTGGCTTGTATTCTTGTGATTGGCTTGTAAGTAGCTTGTGATTGGCTTGTGGCTAACTTACAATTGGCTGTGGTTAGCTTGTGATTGGCTTGTAAATCACTTCAAATTAACTTGGAAGTGACATTCCAAACCTATTCTCCTTTTCCCTAACCTGATGGCCGTCCTGGTTTGGTAGTCTTGCAGCAACAGGAAGATGGCCTCCACCGAGTTCTTCTGGACATCAGGATCGCTGTCTGCCAGGAGCATGATGAGTGGCTCCAAACCATCCTGCTCAAGGATCTGCACTTTGCTGGTGAACTCCTGTGCCATGCTGGCCAGGCACAGACTAGCAAACTCATGAACGAGCGTCTCCTCTGTTGGAGTGTAAAACAATATAACATATTACTCACACATCGCAACCAAACCCCAGTAGGTGCAGAACAGTAATTTAAAATTGAAATAGGACAATCTGGGTCTTCTTTGGGTACTGCATTAAACAACTGAGGCACTAAACAAAACAGCAGCATACATGTAGGCAACTGAAATCGTCATTTGTCTTCATTGGATTTGTCTTTCTTGGATTGAAATAGAAAATATGGAACAGGCAGAGAGCCATTTCGTAAAGCTATAATTTCTAAGCTGTAATGTGGTATTATTCCACGGTTCAGTTGGCCTTTTGAATAACTTAAGCTCTCGACACCTTCGGTAAGAGTTGATTTTCTCAATGTGAAAGCCAAAGCATATGCAACATGTACAGTTTCAGTGAACACAGTGGGAAAAAATGTGATTGGAGTGTTCTTTGTCAATTAAACACAAACTGTCAAACCTGAAAGAAAAGAGTTGCAAATTCTCAGTCATGAACCTCCCTACAAGTCATGCAGCCTCAATGCTACAAACTTGGTGGGATGGAGTAAGCCCAGCCAGATGCTACACACCATCCTAGAAATCCTTTGTACTGATTCAAAGTCACCAAAAAGCAAAAAAAGATATTGACCTAGGATGGTAAGAAGGTAAATATTATACCAAGTATGAGATTACGATTTACCTTCCGAGGACAGTAATTTGATAACGTTTCCAATGCAGTCGCCCTTTCGTAGCACTCGCCGAACTTCAGCTGGGGGGAATGGAATAATGCAATGAATGAAGAGAAGAAAACCTTCCAGAAATGCAATCTGCCTTATTAACGAGTTGGCCATCTTGAAATGAAAGTGAGGAAATCCCCGCAAAACAAATATCTAAAACTTTAATAGCTGTGGGAACAAAGTTCATGCCATAGGGGCAAATTACACATATTTTTTATATAGATCACCACCCTTGGTCTCTGGTGGGTAAGTTCCAACAGGTGGATGAGAAATCATGTTGCCTTTTTAATGTCCAAATAATAATTGAGGCTGTGTAGCAAGTCTATGGTTGCGGCTGCAACCGATTCCCATAGAGTACAAATTTCAAACCGCAGCCAAGTGATTTGGAAACAGCCTGAGTGTGGCTGAAACCTGTAATTACAGTCAAATGGGTTCCTTCCATAGAGTGTTCAACAAATAAAGTAATTTCGGGAAGCACGATTCAAAATGGCCCATCTCATGACTAAAAACCTTACTTGGTGCCCCGGAAGCACAACCAAAGAGGCTCATTGGTGCAAATAATGCAGTGCAATTGAACAAACAAACTGAAGTTGGTACAAAAATCAGCTCCCCTTTCAGCAGATACACATGTACATGTAGCTTCAACAACTCACATGACTCAGGGGTAAGGATGACAATTCTTGGCTCCATCATCTTCTACACAAGGCCTTCCCAGATTTTTCAAAATCCATCAGTAAGTTTGGAAGGATTTGTGGGATTTAGGATGGTATTTAAAGTCCCAGCCACTACCACTGAACATGTTGGACTTGATAACTTACAAAGAGGTTTCTGCACAGTGATATATTTGACAAGATGTAGGCTCCGAGATAAAATGCCCAGAGGGGCAGATTAACAACAAAGAGCTACACGACATTAAGACCATCAACTGGTTGTGAACAAAGAGGATGTACTTAATCATACTCACGGTGGGCTGACATGACTCCCAGTGTCATGGTAGCGTTACGGCGGACAGTCTTCTCCTCCGAGGTAATGAGCTTCAGGAGGGATGGAACGGCACCCATCTCCATCAGAAGAGCCTTATTCTCTTCACCTGTTGCCATGGTGAAAGGTAGAGTGGTAACTAGACAGCTCTTGAGCAGACTGCCTGGGTCTGATTCTCAACAGTGCCAAAGAAAAATTCCTAATCCACAACTGATGCAAGTTTTGGACTAAGCACTCCCAAAACTTTGACTGTATCCTCAGAAACTCTGAGAAAGTTGTACCAATCAACTGGAAGCATGTTTCAACAAAGAGTTTTTTCAACACAAAGAGAGAATTTTCTATAACATTCATTTAGAATAGTATTCTTCTGCAACTTACAAATACTTCACAAAAACATTACAACTAGAAACTGTTGAACCTCTCAAATAAATGTCAGATACTGACGGACACATTTATGCATAATACCAATATCAGGCTTCCCAATGAGCACCCCCATAGCAATGACAAATATCAGGAAACATGTTCAAAAGAATCAGCAGTTATAGCTAAACATAATGAAAAACTTACACTTCTCTGCAAATTTGTAGAGGGCCTCGCAGGATTTGATGAGGATGTCATCCTCTGTGCTGTCCAGCATCAAAACCACAGTAGCTGCCTTCTTGCTCTCAACCGACAGAGGGTCAAACTAAAGGAGAGATAATGAAGATCAGGTGCTTTCAACTGGCTGAAATACTGTGATTTTATTTACTGTGTGATACACCACGTAGCTACTACGGGTCAAGGTTTCCCCTGCCTATTCAAGTGTGAGGCAGCCCACCTCACTGATTTTAGAGACCACCTCAGGCTTTTCTGTTGAATTTCACCACCTTACATATAAAACAATCAAAGATGGTAACTAAAAGTCTTGCAACAGATTAGCTGTAAATTATTCAGAATGGTAAGGAGGGACAAAGAATATAAGATCGATCTATTTTAGAGGGAAAATTTCGAGTAAACATACTAGGAGATTACATAGAATTTATTTTGAGCCTTTTTTAAAACACTCACATTTGTTTTAGGCACCAGAATTTTGGCAAAATTTGTTGGACCACCTCACACATATTGGAACCCCAGGGGAACCCTGTTATGGGTATCTGAAATGAGTTCTTTTTTTCCCCCAACTTATGATTGTAGTGCAATATAATGCAACAGTGGTCCAAAGTTGTTGCACACTATGTCGGGCTGTCAGCATTCATCATCGGTTTTACAGAGTACACAGTGTAACTTTGCAAGTTGTTTTTGCCTGGGCTGGTGTTTACAGATATCTAGTTCAATGTACAGCGCCACCGAATCTCGTCTGCTACTGCAGTTTGTTGCATTATTTTCCATTCAGTAGGATTTTTCATTTTAGCTGTGTTGCACCTCAGCTGGTTTTATCAGGCTGCCTAGAGAATACCCAGTGGAGTAAGCTAAGGTTGATGAGGCAATCTGTGTATCTAAAGTCCCCTGTCTATAAACAGCAAACTCCTTATTAGCATCGCACAACATACTAGAGGTGTGTCATCAAGAGATGCATTCTACCTGCACAATAGGTGCATTTTTCAACTCTGCGATTAGATGGACTTCAACGCTCCATACTTACAATATCTTTGGGTGGTGCCTCGGTCTCCTTTTTGTTTTTCTTTCCCATTTTGCCTCAGCTTTCTTTTGTCTGACAATAATGAACAAGATGGAATACTATTTACATTACAAAGCATAACGTACAGTCTCTCAAAACTACCAATCTTTAGACAACTTACACCTTTGCGCTCTTGGTATTTGTAATTCATAATCGGTGACAAGGAGGGTAGAAAGCTGTGTAAGAGTAAATTTGACGGGGCAAAACAAGAGTGTCTCCATACGGTGCTTTATGTACAAAGTACATATATGTATAACACCTTAATACTACACTCTCTTGGAGTAGGTTCGACTTTATGCTTAGCTTTCATGTTTTAAACAGCTTGTTTGGACAATAGCAGCAGCCAGTTACATGTATGTTACTGAAGCATTACACTAGCTATATTTGTGCCTCCATGGGCAATATAATTGCAAAAGGATCATACGAAGGAGAGACATGCATTTTTTTTTGTCTCTGTCTTAAAGCCAAGTCTGTTTGGAAATAGATTCACAAGCTCAAAATAGAGGAGAAGATGTACAGGGGATCCACAGTCTGGAAGACAACAGATTTTGATGAAAAGTTGAAAAAAGAAAGAAAAAAGTAATGATATTGTATCTTTCGTTAGTCTAATTTCATTATCAAATTCACTGTCATCGTGGTGTCAATCTATGCCACCAAAACGAATAAAAAAGGTGCTTTGCTTTAGCCAGCCAAGTCATTAAGTAGTTTCCAAACACAACCAAGCATGGCTGGGGCAAACTGGAAATGGGGCAAAGTGGCATTGGGGAGGTGTGGGGATGGGGCGAAGTGGCAGTGGGGAGGTGTGGGGATGGGGCGAAGTGGCAGTGGGGAGG